CAGCAGTTCATTTCATTATGGAACATTTTAGGCCATATGGACTTGTGAGAACATCTTGAGGAAATTGGCCAGGATTTTGACTTGTGATGTTCGTCCTAAAATTTAACCAGCAGAGAAGTCTTTAGTTTCTTGCATTTTCTCTGCATAAGGGTTGTAGGGCTGTCACTGGTTACAGACCAAGGGTGAGGGGTGGAGGCTGTTTATATCTGTGGTTTTGGTAATGTGCGATGGGTGAGAGCTAGAAAGTAACTGAAGTGGTTCAGGCACAGCCATCACATTTGCATGGAGCAGCAGATCATTGAGGAGGTACTTCCAAATAGCCCTTGTTGACCCAGAGCTCTGGAGAGGTGAACTAGGGGTATCAGTGTCTCCTCTGCAAGTCCGCAAAGGTTCAGGCATGATCACTGTCCAGGTCTTATGGCCCAGCCAGACTGAGGTCATGAATTTATAGCGATACAAAATGATTACAGGGTCAACAGACCCTTAATCAGTCAAAGTCTCAGCAGACCCAGTATGGACATCCATACTTTATTTTCACTCTCTTTTTAAATCCAGGTGAGTTTCCTTTGCCCAGAATATATTTATTTTATAATATAGCCCTCAAAGTCTGAGGATCTGCTGCTTAGACTCAAATGCCATTCCCAGCTGCTTTTAAAACCCTTCTCTCAAACCTTTCCTTATACAAAGTACAAAACCTGGCAAAGGTACAAGAAATAAAGCCAATAGTATCTGGTCCTTGCACTCTAGGGAAGCTCCTGCTGGACACATAGAAACCCTCCATGGTCTCTCCTTGGGTGGCAGGGAGGCCACTTGTCAGGGGAAAGGCTGAGAAGTCCAACTGGGTTGGCATGAGGGATGAGACCACCTCATTTGGAGTGGGAATAGGGCACTCAGAGGTTCAGGTTCTCAAGTGAATTTGGTGTCCAACATCCATTTGGAAATCTTTGCAGAGTTTGTGGTCCAGTGCATTTAAAGGAGGGAGGTCACTTCTGTACGTCCCCACTGAGGGCCCTGCCTCTGTGTGGGCACACGTGAAGGAGAGGGATGGCTCCCTCTCCGTGTGTTTGATCACTTAGCAGTGGGCATCTCTAACTGTTCCCAATATATCAGCCATGAAAATGATGTGCTATTAAAGCACAGGAGGAAAATACAACTAGTTAAACATCTCAATAAAAATTTCCAACATAAGACAGCGCGAAACTGCAACTTGAAAGGGAACTTTAGACATGAATATCTAGCAACATTAATCCTCTTAACATTATAGAGAAATAAAGATCAAAAAGGGTAATGGATTTGAAATAAGACCTAGAAGACTACATTGGGCTGGAGCTGCAGGGACCATTGGGGCCATATGTTGAGCAGAAGCAGGATGTTTCTGGTATGTCTACAGCAAGCTCAAAGAAATCCACCCTCCACCCGGCACGTCTGTCTTTCAATGCACCCAAATACATCCACACCCATCGGAAAGTCGTGGGTAGAGATTTACTCGAGAGCGGGCTGGAAAGAGATGCTGAACTCCTCCTTCCGAGGCCAGAATATATAATCTGCCTAAAGGCAAAACACGGACCTGTCTCCTGCATTCCCGGTGCAGGCAGCTTCTACCTACATCAGTGCATGGCAGTGATTTGCAGGGTCTGTGGTGAGGAGGAACTGTCTGCTGGGGTGGGGTTGGGTTGAGTTGGGTTGGGAAGTCTAGCCCCAGCCTTCAAGCCTCTTTGATGGCCCCATGAAGCAGCACAGCAGCCCAAAGGATTTGAAGGGGTTTTTTACTTCTTTTCATGGGAAGTAAGGAGCTATTTTTATACCCTAGTAACAGCCTTTGGACTGTCAGTAAAACGTGGGAGGTTTCATAGTAAATGTTTTGCCTGACATTTTCTCAGAAACAGTGGGAAATAATCAGTGCATAATTAGAGAGCTTGTGTTGAATAGACCTGAAAATGTCTATAGATCTATGTCGAGTGTAAAGGGCTTTTTTTTTTTTCCTAATTGACCTTAGTGAAGGTGAAGTTCAGCGTGTTTTATAGAAATGTAAGATGATTTTACAGAAATGACTTAAAGTGAACATCAGCAGAAGAGCCAAGCTGCTGATTCTTGATATTTTTTTCTCTGCCGTTCCCTGCAGCAATGATCTCTTCTGGCCTTTTTGAATGAGTGAGAGCACCTTCTGTGGTGTAGCCCTGGAAAAGAACAACTTTGGTGCTCTGGTGCTCTGAAGGCAATGGTCTGCCTTTGCCTGAGAAACATCCATGGTTGCAATTCCCTCAGAAGCTGTGAGGTGGGATGGGTAATCTGTATTCAGGCAGCTTCTACCCACTCAAAAAATAGTATGTGTCTAATCAGCA